TGACAATGTCCCTGTATTCCTCCCAAGTGGCCTGTCCCCTTTTCCACATTCTGTGTACTTCCTTCTTCTGTTGGAGCTTTGCCAGGAGTTCCTTGCTCATCCATGCAGGTCTCCTGCCCACTTTGCTCGACTTCTTACTCAGAGGGATGCACCCATCTTGAGCCTGGAGGAGGTGATGCTTGAATATTAACCAGCTCTCTTGGACCCCTCTTCCTTCTAGGGCCCTACCCCATGAGATTCCCCTAAGTAGGTCCCTGAAGAGGCCCAAGTTAGCTCTCCTGAAGTCCAGCGTAGCAATCCTACTCATTGCCCTGCTCCCTCCTCGTAGGATCCTGAACTCCACCATCTCATGGTCACTGCAGCCAAGGCTGCCCCCAACCTTCACCTCTCCAACTAGACCTTCTGTGCTTGTTAGTACAAGGTTTTGTACATTGCCCCTCTCCTCCTTGGTGTCTCCACCACCTGGGTCAAGAAATTATCACCAGTGCTCTGCAGGAACCTCTTTGACTGTTTGTGCCTAGCTGTGCTCTCTTCCCAACAGATGTCAGGGTGGTTGAAGTCCCCCATGAGAACCAGGGCCTGTGATCATGAGGCTACTTCCAGCTGTCTGTAGAAGGCCTCATCGACAACTTCCTCCTGATCAGGTGGCCTGTAAAATGAGTAATCCCAATGTGAAATCAATCCTTCTGAAGTTATCTGTGGCAGAGATCATAAACTATAGCCTTAACTGTGTATAGCATCACTGAAATCAATAAAGCCATCTCAAATTAAACTGGCAAATGGGCTTGTGCCACATATCCTTAATTTAGACCAGTTCAACCTATTGTGAATTGGCAGAGTGCTGCACAAACATTTCCTGCATTATATGCCTCATCTTTCTTCTAAGTAAGCTGCTGCTAACTCCAGTCACCACTAGTACTTAATCAGTTTCTCAATGTATCCCCACTATGACACTGTTTGAAATGGTACGGTTAAACTAAAAAGATGGATTTATCAAATACCGATCAGGTCTAACCCAAATATAAGGAAAGCAAGCTTATGTTAGTTTTATAAACTCATCACTTAAAATTTTAATCTTCCTGTGAACAAGCACTAAACATAAATACTGCAATAAATCGCCTAAGCTCGCTGCATTTGACAGAAACAGCTTAGAGTTCATTACTAGAAGTATATGCTAATAATATCCCTTTGGCACTACTACAATATACTCATTAGCTACAGGGCTTAAGTTTACTCATGGGACATATCTTTCTTCAGATGCATAGAGGTTGTTCCTTATGGTTATAAACACTGTGTACAAGCAAACTACTAAAATAAAGTTAGCAAAATTTATCACTACACATTGGGAAGGTTTTCTGACTGGACAGTCTTCAATTTCACAGGTGGAAAAACCAAAACAATATCACCAGGCCTCCCAGCAGACCATCGCTTATAGCTGTATATTTAACCAGGAGTTAAATGAATATTTAATTAGTGGATATTTTGTAACCTGAAAGCCAACGCAGAAGAGTACTGTAATCAGTCGAACCCCATCTTCAGCTCTGACGTGAAAGGAGACGTGTGTGCCACTGAACTGTCACCACCACTCCTTTCAGAACAGGGAACTCCTTGGAAGATGTCCCTTTTCTGCCTGACCCTGATGCTTTCTGCTGAGCTCAGGAGAGCCGACAGAACTAATACAAAGTGGTATGTGGCAGTGGGCCATATCAAGCAGTGCATTTCTGAACAATTACAGCACATTTTCATCAGTGCTGGGAGACACAAGGCTATAGTCCAAGTGGTTAGCCACTTGAGAAGTGCAATTATGTGCTGGAAAATGCACCGCCTGGAACAGTCTCTCTTAAGAAATGGAAATTACAAACTAAATTGGGAAATTAGAAACAAAACTCTGTTTCATTTTGTCTCATGTTGATTACGGGGAACTCCTCACCAACCCTTTTGCTTCTTTCTTCTTTACCTCAAGTTTACCTAAATTAAGGTAGCAAGTCACTATTCCTTTCCTACCCTTTATTCCTTTCCTACCCTCTCCTACCCATACCTTTAGGTATCTTTAAAATGTGTGAAAATATTATCATTACCTGTATTGTGCATCACTGTGCAACACTGGTAGTCACACCTATCTATCTCCTTCCATCTTCTATCTTTTCAGCAGCACCTTATCTCACATTTATTCCATGCATTTATAATGGAAAACTCTAGAAGGATATCTTAGTCCTCAATACTTCTCGTTCTCTTGCTCTTGTCTTATGCTCTAGCTCTCAACTCAATATACCATGACTGCTTGTGTAAGCACCATTTCTCCACTGTTTTTACATGACAGATAAAGGATGCATGAGGCAAGGAGTTCATTGCAAATATGAGCTATGAATACTGTCTAAAGCATGCATTTAGTGCAAGTTCTCCTTTTCAAAGGCTTTAATAACAAAGTTCTACGGCACTTTTGGGAGCAAAACTGGCAAAGGATGTATTTCATAGTGAAAATACCATCCCTAGCAAATACAGAAAAGGAAAGTTTTTATGTCTCACTGTCTTTAAATAGAGTAAACCGTTGAAAACTAAGCTGGTATTGGTAAAAAACTTACAAAATGGAAAAAAAAAACCCAAAACAATCATTTAGCAATTATTTCAGTAATAGTTCTGGTAACTTACAAGCACTCCGTGACTGTTACTGGAAAGGACAGTACACCTTTATGCTGTCAATTTAGAGCTAATATAATTTCATTAATTTTTCCACATATTAACTCAAAATTGAGCATCTCAGGCAAAATAAAAGTTTATAGTCAAAAATCAAATTCACGTGTCTGTACTTTAGGTCTTCTCAGCAGGACTTAAAGCCAATGTAACAACACAAAAAAGTGAGAATATGAAACATTCAATAGATAGTTGGAATTTAAGAAAAATCATAGAAAACACAATTGAAAAGAAACTGAAGAGGCCACCTGACACGTTTCTCTGCCTGAACATCTATGTCACCCATTGAAAGATTCTTGTTCAAGATGTTTGAAATTTACTCTCAGGTCTCTAGGCGGCTTTTCAAGGAACATAAGAAACAGGTATTTGGAGGCAAGGTAACAAAGGGAGGGAGAGTCAGAGACCTGTAAAGGGGAATCTAGGGATGATGAGAGCAAGGCTGGACAAAAACCTACGGAATGAAAAAAAGCAGAAGAGCAGATCAAAAAAACAGAGGAGAATGAGATGGTAAAACAAACAAAAAAAGCCCTCCCTCCATACACATGCGCATAAACACACAAAAACATCTATTTTTGTACTAATGGCTCTCTAAAAGGAAAGGAACAAAGAAGATATACAGCAGGATGAAGAGGCTAAGTGAGACGTCACCTGAGAAAACCTCTGGTAATATAATTGTATCTTTAATCTCTAGGAAGGAAGTGGAATAATAATAATAATAAAAAATCAGGCCATGAGCACGTCTGATTATCCATAATTCTGTGTTCTTCTTGTGTTCAAGAACCATTTCCAGGCTGAAGCTTACTGTTCCTTCCTATATGTCTTTACCTGTTTGTCTAGACAGGTAAAAGCACACGCTATGGCTGGTTCAGTGCTTTGCACATACTGACTGGCAGGCTGCAGCTGCCTCTTGCACCAGATAAGAGAGTAAGTTATAGCTTGTGTTCCCTCAGGGCATTATCTTCCACCTTTCTCATAGCTAGCTGTTGATTTTCATAAAACTTCATACCACTTCATAGGTTTTTGACATTTCATCCCATTGACATTTAGATGAAATTGGGCAACAGCTTCAGTCAAGTACTGCTGTCGGGGTAGGGACAGTTGGGGCATAGGAAAGAAAGGGAAAAGCCAAAATGCATAGGACTTATTTACACAAGAAACCAATACACAAAACAACCTTAAAGAAGAAATATACACATATCTGTTCTTCACTGAGTATCATCAGAAAAGGCAATTGACTGGATTTGGAGAACCTGTTCTGAACTGGAAAAAGTAGTCTTTCTTTAGGTAGGGCTTATTCTGGCTCACATTCCAATAAGTGAAAAGCTGTCACCAATTTAAACCTGAGCAGCAGCTCTAATTGCAAGGAGCCCAAACTGAAACAGAATGAAAATGGATATATTTCATCTTTAAACTGTCCACGAAAACATCACAATTACTTCATACCTGAAACATCACTGCTCTGTCCCTAGCTTTAAAAGAAAAGTCTGGTTTGTAATAATATCTAAGATGGGCATAGACATAAAGATAATTAATTTAAACAGCAATTTTACATATATGTTCACAAATTTTATTGCTCCAGTGCTCAGAGACTGAGACATATTAATGAGAAAATGTGAATTCATTTATCCAACGAACAAAGCACAACAGAATTGCTGTATATTAGATCTACAGATCACATGTACAGTATATTAAATTCACTTAGATAATTATGTTTCAATGTAAAAGCCGTTATAAAGAATAAATAAATATACATATGGACTTGATAAATAACGCGCCGAGATTATGCAGATAATTCCTATCTAATCCAGTAGTCCCCTCACCGCTAACAAATAATAACTAATAAACCACTGAATGTTCTCTGCTATGATACACTTGTTTTATTTAAATTTCCCAAATATACAGATATCTGAACTTTCCAATGGACTTCACTCTAAGGGACTCAAAGGAAGTAATGAATATTGCCACATAGATTCTTGGAAATAAATCTAGCTTCTCTCATTTCCTTTGTCATTGCAGTCTTTATCCTCAGAAAGAATCAGAATGTCACTGCTGTAAGAGAAATTAAGTTAGTAGAGGTTCTCTTTTCCTATATCGCTCCCTTGGCATGGGATAGGCTTGAAGGTCAGTTCAGTGTTCTCCATCAATATGAAATCATATCTGCACAGCTGCAGCCTACAAAAATAAAAAAAAGCACAATAGAGAAAAAATGTAAAAATATTTTAGTATCTGAATTATTAAACCTGCAGTATTTACCACCTTTTAGAGAAGTTACTCAAGACAATAAGAAATATCCTCTTGTTTAAGTTTACACCTTATTTTAATGGATCATTAGAGTAGTTTGGACAGCCTGAGAGCAACATCCAGGACATCAGATGGATGGTGCAAAGTGGCATGAGTAAGAAGTGTATCATGTTAGTCTGAAATATGGAGATGCTGTAATTCAGCCATCAAGGCTATTAACCTGTATTCAAATTAATTCTTTAGAACAATGATCCAAGAACAGCTCGATACTTAGTAAGAGCAGGACTGAACAATTCACTTTGATTCCCCTAGCACTTAAAGTTTCTCTTCTTTCATTTCATGGAGAGAAACATAAAACTGCATCATACTGCCTTCTCATTTATTCAGTTGCAATGAGAGCACACATAAGGAATTTTCATGTAGGACAGTATTTTGTCATCTCTCAATGCTCAGAAAACCCAGAACTGCATAATACTATACAATTAGTACCATGCATGTGGTACAGATATCAAAAAAGCAATAACACACAGACACAAAATCTTAATTTTTATGTCAACACAGAAGCTAGCTCTGTCCTTTTAGGGCAAATACAGGGCATAGGTTTGCCCTGAACACACTACTATAGATAGATGGAGGGAAGTGGTTTAAACAGGTAAGTAGCTAACATACCCTTTTCTCTCATAGCACCTCTAATGGCATATATGCTATGATACTTACTTCAAAATGACCTTCTACATTGTTCTAAGCTCACAGACCTGGTTATACAGCACAATCCACCTCAAACTGGGATGCAGCTGAAACAGCTAAGGGAAAAAGCCTGGGAAGGAACGTACAGCCAGCCATTTGTGCTGTTGCCCATTAGCATGAGATTTTCAACCAGTTATGGCTCCACCTATCTGTGTATGAAAGGACTGTAGGACTTAACGTTACACAGGAGGGAGGGAAGATTGAGATTATCAAAATTCATTACAGAAGCTAAGTTAGCATATTTTATAACTAAGAAGATCAGGAGAAATTCAGATATTTTGTATAAAGCAAAACACAGAATGCCATCAAGTGCTTCACCCATAATTTGCTTTAAGTAAAATGTAGTGCTTTAATACTGTATTATTTTTGGTAGGGCACAGAAATTGCCAGCATTTTAGAAATCTTTGCAAGAGACCTTGAAAGAATTCACAGGACAAAGTTCCAATCAGGATAAGACTATTATATGTATATATATCCCAAGTTTACTGTCAATATACTATTTAACAGTATAGCGCTGCATTTTAACATATTTGCAACACTATTTGCAATATAGTAGCACAATATGCTAGCATAGCCAGTTCTCTTACCTAGGAATAATTATGTCTAATCACAAGAGATACAGTACTTAGACAAACTGTAATAATGAATACTAGAAATAACAACATCTGGTTTCCAACATGTTCTATCTCATCTGAAGCAAAATACATCTGAGTGAGTACCAGGCATGCCACTGAGTAATCCTCAAAAAGGAGTAGATTTTTCAGTTTACCAAGAAAGTACAAAACACAAATGATTTTTTTGTTAGGGGAGGCATTTGTAATCTCTTGCCCCATGTGGCTTCCCTGGTGTCTACTAAAAGGAAAGGGCGTTCCACATTCTCTTTTTCAGTAGAGGCGTTAATAATTCTTTTTTATTATGCCTGCTCTTGTTTTGGATAAGGAAAGGTGGCTGGACTAAACAAGTTGAGACATTTACTTCCTCCATCAAATGAGTTTGGAATTGACTGACAGATTCAAAACCTTTTGGGGAGAATTGACACCTGGACACCAGACAAGCTACAAAAGTTTTCTCTTTTATGAGTGAGCAAGAACGATTTATCTCAGAGCCCAGAAGAAGAATCTGGAAATGATATGTACCCTTTAGTACTTTCACATTCACACACCATCTGTGTGAATAATGGGTCAGTCCAGAAAACAGTTCTGCCAGTGATATTCCCCAGACTCCCACTGTCTGCTGTTAACCCAGATCTGGAGAGAGTGAGACTGCTATTGTTTTTTATCCCTGCACCTGTCCTCTGTTTCTTACCTACTATTTTGCTATATGAATAATTTGGAGATTTTTTTAAAATGTAGTTTAATTTTGATTATCCTGTATTTAAGTAATTGCTGTAATTGCATCAACTAAGATAGGTAGTCGTAATTACAACGAGCAATTTTATAATTACACCAGGCAACAGCTTCGTGACATCTGCATTTAAATTAACTTCACGTGTTCACATGGAGATTCAACACACTTTTCCACCACTGTCTAAAAGCATCTAATATGCCTACACAACTATCAGATGATGAGGCCCTGTAAGAAGGATTTTAGTGGAACCTATATGAAAACAAATCAAGTGCATCTTACTTTAAAATTAACAAGAGTTCAGAATAAACAGGAATGAAAACTGAAAACCAGTCAGGAATGTTCACTGAAAGTATTTCTTGATTCACTAGACTATTCAACTGAAAGTCTTGAATGCTGATGGGCTTGCAAAAAAATTAATCTTTTGATTTATCACCATTGGGTTCGGAAAAAAATTGCAAAATTGATTTAGAGCTTTGGCTATCTCTCATTGCCAAATGCTTTTAAATAAAATCACGTCAGATCACCTGAGAGCTTGAGACTTACAGCCTTCAACAAGTTAAAGTCTAATGCATACACATTTTGGAGTACTATTTTGATTACTGAGTGTTCAATTTCTTCCTTACTCTCTCGCACCTGTATTCTCCTTTTTGTCAGTAAGTACGAAAGAGCAGATTAATTTAATAAGGTTTCAAAATTTTTACAGGATATCATACCCAACTCCTACTAGACTATTATGATATATCAAATTATAAAACCCTAAATGTTATTTCTCAAGTTGTAAAGTATACTAATGTAAGACACTGACTTAGCTCATATTGCAGCATTATTCCCACTCATTACTTATCTGGTTACCATTATTAGATTGTATGTTAAATTCTGACTTTGCTGAATCTGCCATTTGTATGAAGCAAATAAATGTAATAACTTTAAAATGAAGTACTCTTGCCACTTTTGACTACCTACTCTTGGTTATTTCTTACCTATTCTATGGAATATGTTCTTTTCACATGATGAAAATATAGAGTTTAATTAGTAATGCTATTTTACAGGTAACTCTAGAGACCTAAAAGCTGAACATACGGCAATACCACCAACAGTAGTAAATAATAAAAGTGTGGTAATGACATTTAAGCACAAATAAATGCAGATGATGTCATTTTAAGCATGGGCAAATGTAGACTGTTGTTTTGGTCTTGCAGGGCCTCTAACAACAGCAACAAGACCAAAAGCCTATTTCTGTCACACAGGGAGCTGGATTGAAGCGCTCCATCCCATACCCAAGTATGAAAAGTTCTGATTCAATCATATGTCTATACACAAAAATGCTTAATAAAACTCATCTTCTGGAGGAGAACTTAAATCATGCAATCACTGCAGGTGTAAGCCAGGCTGGCCTACGTAAGTGGTCCTTTAGAACTGATTGTGACCAGCAGCAGCAGCCGCCTCAGGTAATAAGCGGCATGTAAGAACTTTATATATAATAAAAGATGCAAAGTTAGGGTGCTGTGCACTAAATGTTAGAGTATAGATCATCTCTTCCACTTGATAGATTTGATTCTAGGTAGGGCGAGGAGGCTATTCATGCATTTAGGATTATGCTATCAAAAATAAGAAAACAACAGAGACAAATACATGTCTGAGGGAACGTGCTGAGCAGTTTAACTCACGTGCAACTTCAGTACCTCACAAACACTCACCTTTCTGGATTATTAAGAGATTTCAGCCTCATCTGGAGAATCCTGAGCTTATATTTTGGTCCTATTAAAGTCTTTGTAGAAAAGGTCAAGGAAATTCTCGATATTTTATCAAAATCCTGATAAAATCCAGTGAGTATTCTGACTCTTCTGTATTGCTGAAATGTTGCAGCCTCACTAAAGAGAAGTATTTTCTGGTCAGTGTTTTGTTATCAGAGTAATATTAATTATTACTATTAAGAACAGAAATCTGATAAGATGTACAGACTGAGAGCACTCACAACAAGGACACCTAGAACCAGATTCAAAACAGCAGCATGCAAGGACATGGGCTAGTTTGTAAATGAAGAGAGGATCACTTCAGTGTGAGGAACATTGGCCTATGTCACTGAGCCATGCAAGACCCAGAAAAAGGAACTGCGACCAAGGATTAACAACCTCATAGTACTCTCTGGCTGAGTTAACAAGTTAGAAGCAAGGTTTAGGGAACTCAATGAATTAGTTTTATGACGAGATAAAAAAGATTTAGAAATAAAAAACGACTTACCTATTCATTTTTGATTCTACTGTCTTTCCAGCATAATCTGTTATTTTAACTCTAATGAAACCTCTCCTAATATTTTTATTCCAGGTAATAATATCCAATAAATAGTTATACACTGCAAATAGAAACAGGAAAAAAAAAATAAGATTCAAGGAATGACCTCAACAGGATACAATTCTTATTATTTATTAAAAGTACTCACTGGATGATGATCGTAATAGCGACTCAATACTTCTAAGTTACCAATTCAAACCAGGACAAAAAGGCTATTGATAAAAAGTAGCTTCTACTAAACAGCTACTTGGATTTCTGTGCAACTAACTTTCATTTCCTCCAGTTCTTACAAGGAAAGGATTTGCATCAGAAAGCTACCATCAGAATTAACGTGAAGAATTTGACCTGCCTAAGAAAAGAATGCAAAATCAAGCCCTGACTGGCACCTTCAGTTTTTGGCAAGCTCTGCAAAGTGAGGATAGTTGAGCTACTAGCATAGCTAGACTATCGCATTATCCATAAAAGTGGCATCGCCAGAAAATAGTTGAGGAAGAGGGTAGGAACAGTATTTGCATAAGCTTTATGCATACGCAAAGTGCGCAGTGTCCTAGGTGAGCGGGTTTATTAGATGGTAAATCTGAAGAGAGACCTTATTCTGTGCTTTGTTTGCCCAGCTGCACCAGTGCAGGTCCCCCAAGCACCCTTCTCTCAGGTCAGTTCAACCTGTTTGGGAGAATCTAAGGGGAGAAGCCACAGATACTTGAAAGATTGCATGGGGATGAAGGGAGGAAGAGGACAGGGGGTGCTGACTGCTTTCTCATACTCTAGATCCTCTCCCTGGACAGCTCATAGCCTCAGGAAAGACCTTGTGGCTTCCTAGGGCTGGCACCCTCAGTGCTCAAGTGCTACTTGAAAAGGATGTGTGCAGCTGAGCCTGCTCTGCTGCCAGCACAAGACTGAGTTTTGCCTATACTGCTAAGAAACCCTAACCTGGCCTTCTACTGCACTTTTGAAACCACCACTAATATTTTAACTGCTACAGCTCTTCAGAAGAAAAAGATAGAGAGTAAGTAAAAAGTAAATAAGCCAACTGAAACTTTTTTTGGCGTCTTACTTTTTAATATTCTAAAAGGCCAAATCCCACCTTGTGCGAAAAGCTTGCGCTGCTTAGGTTTATAGCTTCACTTAGTTTTAAGGCCTCTCGTTTATTCCTATTTCTTCATGTTTCCAAACATCTAAGAATTAAAATAAGGCTCTAACTAATAAATACCTTCTTTTCCAGATTGGTTTATTAGACTTATTTTTCCCTTCGAATTTGCATATTTTCCCTTAAGTTTATGTTGTCATTACAACACTTCCTATTCCTCTCCATCTATCTCCTTCTATGTTTGGTAAAGCTTCTCCCTCCCTTTCTCTCCACTACTACCCCTGCCCCAGACTACCATATATCATCTTCTACAATGTATTCTTCCTGTCATCAGGTTTCTGCCTGGGTGGACTTTTGATAAATGCCCAGATTTTAATACCTTCCTGAGCAGGAGCAAAGCTGTATTTTTCCGCAGGAAGACTGAAGTGAGGAGACAGACTTACTGGCCTGGGCAGCTTTGAGAGCATGGAAGAGCAAAGTCCAAAGCGGGCAGGAGGAGGCGAGAAGAACAGTGGTAGCAGGTGTGGGTGGAGCTGAAAGACCTTTGGGAAGAGAAAGAATTTCTCTGAGTCGGGAAGGGCAGGCAGGAGATCTGATTTGGGCAGTTTAGAGAGAAAGGGTTGAGAAGACTCTGGAGCGTGCAAAGGTTCAAAGGGCACCCAAACAGGTGCTCCTGCAACACTAAGTTTGGAATGCAGTTAACAACCTATATTCTCCTTCTCCTCCATCCTCCACCACAGTGTGAACATAAACAATTTTAAAATTGTGCCTTAGGCTTTGCTGTCCAAGTCCTTTTCTCCCCATTCACACCAAGACATGGAATAAACATTGATATAAGTGAGCGCACAATTACCAATATAACAAGAAGAAGTATTCAGTCACTGGCCACAAAACTTGCCAAAATGATGGCAAAAAGTAATGAAAAAAGTTGATTTCCCTTGAATTCCCTGTAAGCTGCCCATGCCTCAAATCAAAGAATTTAAATATAAGCAATTAGAAGAGTGTGCTAACATTCACTCAGGGTGGTAAAATCTGTTAATAAAAGGGAAACTGGATGAGAATCTAACCTAGACCTCCCCATGGCTAGGTAAATACCTACTGTAGCTAAAGGCTACGCTAAAAGTGTTCGTTCCCATATAGTGTATCTATGATAGCCAGTTAAGTTTTCCTTCCCCTGTTTTATTCTTAGGGAGAAATGGAGCTATAATAGCTGGAGAAGCTTTAGTTCATTGTGGGGCATTCCCCTCTCTAGGGTAGAGCATACAAATGTTTCTTTTCCTTCCTCCACTCTAGGCAGTCTTGCTACACATTTTTGCTCTCTGAAAAATGGCAGTAATGTTCCCATCAAACAGGTTCTCTCTCAGTCCAGCGTTTGCCCTGTCACTTGGTGCTCGTTTTCTGGCTTCCTTGGCAGTTCATCCTTCTCTCATTACTTTTATAGTCACATTTCTTTCCTTCTTTTACTTAGCTCACCTATTGGGTACTCTTCTGCCATAATCATTCTTCTCCTTCCCCCAGTCTACAAACTGATACTTAGCTGATGGTTTATTACACCATTTTATACAGCAGGTAACAAAAACTTTCTAATCAAGTACATGCTTTCAATCCAGTTCAGCTAACAAATAATAACCATAACATTCTATAAAGAGTTTGTTAAGTATGTATTCAGTCACTCACTGCAGAATGGCTCGTGGTCCGAAGTATCAAAATAAGCTTTTGTTGGTAAACTATTTTGTATTAAGAGTTCTTTCCACCTATCGGCATAATAACCTGAAATCCAAAGTTTATATATTTCATTTCAGACATTTAGCGAAATCATGATACACATATAATTTCACAAAAGTAAGTCACCCAAAGTGATAGATTTGGCTTTAACCTTCTAAAAGATTCTCTGAGAAAGTAAATTGATTTGTAAAATGCACGAATAACCTCAGTCTACTAAAATGTAGTATATATATATATATTTCATTCTTATGAAATGATATGAGCATCATTATATATTGATATATAATATATTATATATAAGCATATATATATATTAGCATCACAAAAATTGTCACAATGGCATAGTTGGAATCTGTTTAGTCTAGGGTACCAACTCCAGAAAGTGTTTATAAACTCCTGCAGAAGTAATAACAACAAAATCAAAAAAATAACCCACATATTTGTAGAAAATAGTTATGGAACAGCTTCACAATAGGTAAAATTTCTTCCGTTCTTTCTTCAGTGATTAAAGCAAATATTTTTATCCCTCTAATCTACAGTTATGGATATTATTTAATTAAACTGTAAAATCTTTTTTAAACCTGTTAAGTTCTTGGATGTAACGTAGAAAGCATTTTGTTTTATGCAGTTCTACATTTATTGTCTCTTCGTCTTGATGTCATTCTCTCCCTCGGATTTCTTTATCCAGATCGAATAACCAGGGCTAGTTCCAAGTCAGCACCTGGAAAAGGATGCTGTTTCTTCTTCCAGTTCCCAGATTCAGCTGCCTACCATTTCCTCATAGGAAATGAGGAATTTCAAAAATGAGGTTTTATAGTTATTTAAGAAAAAAGATGGCAGCTGTTTGGTCAAATATTTCTCTACCTCTAAGTCAGGCATTCTTCAGTCAGTGCATCACGCATGCCTAATAACCATTCTGGGGAAGTCCTGGAGTCTTCTCGCCGTACTGTGATGTGGCATTATAGTTGCTTTTTATTCTAGAATAATATATAGATATGTCTATTTTCAAACCTGATTTAACTAATATATGCATGTCTAAGGATGAAAAGAAGACAAGGTATGAATTCAGAGTTAACTTCTATTCAAACATTGTAAAAATTTCTAAGAAAACACTACCAACTGAAAAATGTTCACACCATTGTAGCTGTTTTCAAACTGTCCTCAGATCCTCTCTAAAACCAATAAAACCTCAAATTAAAAAAAAAAGTATTCCAAACAAAAGCTTGATTCCAAAAGAGAGTAGAGCCAGAGGCTCCATGAAGTTGCTATGAACATTATTACTCCAAGTAAAAAAAAAAAAAAAAAAATCACAGTTACGCTAGCGATGATATTGTATTATGGAAGCCTACAGCGATGGGCTAAGTAGAAGCACTTTCTCTGTGCAGAGAAAATGCATAGTGAATATATTTCAGACTAGAAAGCCTAATAGGAACATTCAATGCTTGTGCCTAACAGAAATAGCTATAAAGTAGCCAAAGCCTTAAACTTTGAACTATTTTAAACACCATGCAGCTCCATAAACAATCTCCATACAACCCTTAACAAGAGACTACAGCTCTCTGTAGCAATCACAGAAAGAGCACGTCTAAATTACTGAGAAAAATCACACCTAGCCCAGACACCATAAGTCTTACCCAGTACAGGACAGGACATTGGTTGAAAAGCTTTACAGTCGACACATTTTCCTCTCTGGTAATCCAAGTATGAGTCACAAGGATATGCTGTTATGTTGCACCCACTTTTCAAGGATGATAGGAAGAGGAAGACAGATCTCTGATGATCACATTTAAAATACTGAAATCCTTTAAGAAATAAAATAAAGTGTACAAAGAATATGTACTCATTTTTCTTCTAAAGGGAACAGATGTTATCCAAGTAATCCCATTTAACTAAGCCATTCTTAGTTAGCCATGTTTTTATTCTCTGATTAGTTGACCACTAACAGTTGCACATGGTTTATTTCACTGTAAGTCTTTGAAAGTGTAACAAATGGATGCACATACACAAAAAGAAAAAATTAAAGTCTATATAGAATATATTATACCAAGAAATACTCTACTAAATCCTATCAAAGTCACAGAATTACTGTGAACGAGCATAAGCCTGAGTTAAAATTAGGTTTATGGCATCCCCTACTAAATCCTTAAGTAAAAAAAAAAAAAGCTACTGTGAAGAATACTTTAGAGATTCTTCTCTCTAGTTTCTTGGAGAACAAAGTCCTTTCTTCTTCTGGCAAAAGGCACTATGAGATGTAATCAGGCAGGTGAAGATGATCCTGGATCTTAAAGGATTCCCCTGTATTCACAGGCACACAAATGAAAGCCCTATGATTTGCAGCAGCTGTAATTCCTAGCAGCAGTTTGCAAATTAGTAACAGAAATATAGGTAGAACCATAAAGATATCCAAAATGACAAAGACAACATGGTGCAACCTTGCCTGAGATTTATGGAGGCTAAAATAAGCAAGATTCTGGGAAAAAAAGATCATGCCGTAAAACTGTTTTCTTCCTAAAGGATCTAAAAGACATGATCAAAAACTAGTTCTTCATTGCCAGTCAGGAGGAACCCAAGACACAGAGTGAAAACTTGATAAAGACAATGTCTTTCATGTTGTACACAAGTGATCCCGTCCAAATCACTTGGACACAAACATCTTCCCCCGTGCCTAGCTCTGTATAAACACAGAAAAATAGTGATCACTTTATGCAGACGATATACATGTATATACATATGTACATATATAAAAAACAATAATGGTGTAATGGGATATGCATGCTTATAGGAAGATTTAAAAAAAAAAAACAACACACACTCAGCTGCCTTTGTTACTTCTCATTTGCTGAGTGGGAATGGAAAAGAAAGCATACAAAGCCCTAACCCTCATATTACTGAACAAATGCGGTCTCCTTCGAATTCAGCTTAGCCTTTTTTGACTTGATCTCAGACTCTTTTCCTATTAACTGAAAATATTTTTATTTACCACTGAATACTGTTTTTGGACAACCGGGCTGATCCGTTCCTCCATTCGGATAGAAATCAATGGTTCCTAAAGGTTTCCTGAAACCTAGCGCTAAAGTAAAAAAAATCATAAAATCAAAAAAACGTCCAGTGAATAATTTATCATTACATGGAATTCTTAAAGAAAATTTTTGCAAATATACTGTTCTTTTGTTCTGTAAGTGGAATTCATGTTGAATTAACATCCATTTTTTTCCTTGCAAGTTATTCACATGTAAAATGCTATATACAAAGGTATACAGATCTGTGCATTATACTCCTACTGCCACAAAGGAGAATGGATAGAGCAGAAAGAACTATTTCATGTTGCAGCTAAGTTATTTGCACTAAGAAATTTATGAAATGTATGTCCTGTCTAGCAACCAAAATTCTGTCCGCACGTATAACTCATTAGAGTTAGATGTTTCATTTTGAGCTACAGTAGATTATAACAAAGTAGAAAAAATGTATTTTTCCTGACCCATGAAAGACCATGACTGATTTCAGTAGGATTTAGTCCAAACTGACGTACCTTCCTTTTTAATCTGTTATCTTAATTCACATAAAGGAAGTGTTACACCTTCACATATAAATTTGTACAGGAAATTGCTAAGTTTTAATACTTTGAAAAAACAGACACAAAATTTCACAAATAATGGGGCAAGTGTGGCACATGTGAAAGGTCTACTTATGTTTTTGTTAAAAAAAATGAAGCTGGATAATTGTTCGGATTATTACAGCAGACTTTACCATGATCTTCATTTTAACCTTATAATTCTATATAGAATCATATTACTATAAGCAATGGATTTGTACAGCATCCTTATGTGATACAGCTTAGACCAGGTATCTTGGAAGAGAATTTAACTCAGTGATAATAACACACTTACAGCTTCAGTGTTTCCACATGCAAGGTAATATGATGTTTATGTTTAACTATTTTATAAAATAACAGTATCTTAAATTAATGCAATAGATAAAATGCTATTTAATGTGAAGACTTTTTTTTTGTCTTTTTCATAAGGCATATAATGTAACAAATAGGAAAAATGACAGTGGTAACATCTTTACCGTCACATGACATTAAACAGATTCAGGAATATATGGTTAACTAGATATACCTTCGGCTGGTTATTTGGCATGAAAATTGTTATTCCAATATTTTTAGGTCCAGTCATTAAATTTAACTCAGTCATTAAGAAGGTTACTCATGTCAGAACTGAATGAAATGGCCCATCATTGCTCAAGTCATTAGCAAAGTTGGGTTTCAATTTCTGGATGAACAGGTATAATAAAGTCCAATATGATGTCAACGATATAGATGAAACCACTAGGAAGCAACAGCACAGAAATCCTCCTGACACACAGAACATACCACTGCAACACTATTGGATGCTCCTGAAATAGCTTATCCACTTTTCTTCCTATTTAAATAGGAAAGTTAAAGCTATGTCATTACCATCAATATCCGTATGAATTACGTCAATAAACTGTGCATCAGTATGATACAATCTCCCTTCTGGTGGTTCTTGAGAGAACGAAGGACCTGCAGGATCAAGACCTGAAAGAAAATAACGATAGCGTTACAGACCTGATTGTCTATTTCTGTAGTCCTCTACAAGACCAGCATGTGAGCACTGCACGGCAGCTTAACACATTTTCCTGGGATACGAACAGTAAAATAAGAACAAAAACCTGCACAGTTCTTTTCAAAACTCCATTCTTCAACTTGCTAGGCAAAGCAATAGTTCCTACCACAAGGCTGACCAACCCATATCTTTGAATTTCTCTCTCTTCCTAATAAGTTCTGCTCATCTTCCTGTTCTCCAGAAGCGTTGTAAGCCAACAGCATTAGGGGTCAAGTCAGGAGAATTCATCTTGCCTTTTCCTCCAGAAAAGGCCATACCTGTTATGTGCTTCATAAAAAAAATCTGCAATGTAACTACTCTCACCACCAAAACCCAAGACAGTGTTTATCGCAGAGACAATTTCAAACAAGCCTCAGTCATTTTATAGGTTGATGTTGAAATTACTTAGAGAAAAAGTTATATGAAACTAAGTTAAATATTAGCTTTTGACCAAATCTTCACCTGAAAGAGATTTGGAAATCTTATATTCAAATCGAAACTCAGCAACACAGAAGAAATGCCAACTGTGATCCACAAAAACACTTTAACTCAAAGAGGAAGGGATTTGGATGTCCAAGTATTTGAAGCATAAACACTGCATATTCCCATTCCCCTTAGTGAGAGGGAATTATTATTGGGTAACCCTGCAGCCTGATAATTTTTAAAGTGGTAATTACAGTCCTTTACAGGAAGGAGAAGTTGCTGACTGTGTGTGGTCTCCTCCTGTTTTCTTAACAGCAAAGGCACAAAGAGAAGAGAGGACGAAAAAGCAAAGATTGAAAATGCAACAGTCAAGACAAAACATATTCCTACACTTAAGTGACTCCTAATTTCAATTTCACTGACTAAGACAGACCTAGTGTATGATCTTAGTTTATCCAAGACCTAACAACTGTGTAGCATAATTCAACTGACATATCTGTTTTACTGGTCTAGTAAGGTTTCCTGTCAAGATCAAGATAACCAAGACCCACACTACCAGAGAGAATCATGGAATACTAGCAATAAATGTTCATAGTACTCCAGGAGACAAAAGTTCATTGTTTTAGTCCACTAATCAGTTTTATAATTCAGAAGCCTCAAAACAATGAAGACAGTTTATTGTCTCTTCTCCTGTCTTCTCTCTTTCCTTTCCTTTTTAATCTAGTTTTTCCAACATCAGTCTGGTCCACTGGCTTATAGTTCTATCTCAACTTGTTGGAAAGAAACAATATCAAAACAGGCACTGATGAAGTTATGAGCCTTACAGTTTCAGATTACTCAATCTTTGTCTTTATTCATCAATATTTATAATTATAGGAAGGGGACTGGAACATTTCTTGCAATTCCATTTACCTTTGAGCATCTGAGTTCAGAAATGACATAGATTTGCTAGCTTCCCTTACTGCAAGGAGTCAAAAAGGCCACAGGCCTGGTAACCTAATACTGGTACCAAGCCTGCCCCAAGCCAGTGAAGCCCACAAACCCTAAGGAATTGGGTAAAGTAGGAACGAGTCTTCATAACCAAAGGAATATGACTGGAGCCTGTCACACTCCTAGAAAATAACCTGACTTGCATATTACTGTCCTAAAAGGGAAGAGTCTCTAATTCCCTTTTCTAAGGCTAACTCCTATCACATTTTGGGAAAAAACAAACAAACAAACAAACTTTGTAAGTAATCTGAAGAGAGGGTTTGGAGCTATGAATCTCAAGGAGAGATAACTGCGTCCTTTCAGCCTGAGGACAACTGCTTTTGTAAATCTTAAGTAGTATCAGGATCCTAGAGCCATCTCTCACAAGCATTTTCTGTTAGTTAGCTTAGCCAGCTTCCTTTCCAACATGCTAGCTACTGTGAGTTTTGTTCTTTCACCACGAGTAGCATCAGGGGCCTACATACCCAAATTAGCACTGAAGATCCAGCATCTAAAAGTGAATCCTAAAACTCTTGTTTGTGACCCTAACCCTGAAAGATATATTCTCGAGATACCCCAGCTACCACTGCCATGGAAGACAATGCAACAAACATTAGGTGAGATTTACAGTGGTCATACTCAGTTTGAACATCTGATTTAAGTTCCTTATAGCAGATAGCCCAAGGTACTAAAGCCTGCACCATGTTTAGATGGCTCAAACCGATAGGTTGTGGAGTCTCCTTCCCTGGAGACATTCAAAACCCGTCTGGACATGATCCTGGGCAATGTGCTCTAGAGGACCCTGCTCGAGCAGGGAGGTTGGACTAGATGATCTCCAGAGGTCCCTTCCAACCTCAACCATTCTGTGATTCTGTGTGAAAATAATTCCTGTGCTTGATTCCTATGTTCTGACTTTAAGAGCTTTTGAATCTCTCTTTGGGGGGGAACTGATTTTCTCTGCTGACTAGGTAAGGAACTCGGGCAGCATATTGCTTAACTGAAGTGTCATCTGAACATAGCACTCAATCTTCACTTGAAGGATTAGAGGAAAGCAGATTGGAAAATTTCAGCTTTAACCTGTTAAGTCCTCAAGTCAGACTTCCACAATTTTTTGAACTTATATCAGGGATACCTGTTTCCTCTCATATGTTACTACATAATCACTTCTTATTTGCTGATATTACAATGCCAGCATCTATGTATTTCGCAGCTAGGAGAACAATTCAGGGTACATTAGAATACATTTATCAGGATTAAAAGCCTTACCTGTAATTCTGCCAAGTTTGCCATTATACTTCTTGCCAACAAAACCAGCTATATGAGCCCCAAGACTAACTCCAATCATATGCATAGAGTCAAGAGAAGCTCCATCTGCCTATCAGGGGGAAAAAAAAAAAAGAAGGCATGACTGAGCTCTACAGTGCCAAGCGAAGTTTGCAATATGGTTAATTGAACAAATAATACCAATCAGTAGACTGATTTAGCTTTCACTTTTTGTCAGTACTCTAAGTTACATTTCTAACTACCTTTAAAAACAAATTCGGTACTAGCTATACAGTGTAGTAACTATGAAATTCTTTGACTAGTTAAAAATGTAAAATGGAAGCTTGAGTATCATTTCTTCCAAACTGTCATGCTAGTCTATTTGAATACGAGGAGCATAGAGAGGGAAGAGGAAGAGTTTTACCAGAAATACAAAAGATGAACCAAAACTATGAATGGGGGAGGGGGGGAGAGGGAATTCCCCTCATGCCTTATTTTCCAATAAAATAAATTAAAACAGTAATACTATTAACAAACACTTATGCCATGGAACAGCTGAATAAGGCTGCCAAATACATGCCTGCAGGAAAGCTTTAGCATGCCCATTCTGCAAAGCAGGCAGTATCCAAAAATTTTCTGAGGAGCTCTATGTTACTATCAATATGCCTATTAGAGTGTCTGCAAAATGACGGAACGTTATGTAGAATCTAAAATGTTAACGTATTAATGAGATCTCAAAATTAAACAACAAAGTCCTCATGGCACCTTACAAGTATTAAGCTGATAGTGATGGGACACAACACCACCCAAGACCATCATTTTGCTGACTCACGCACTGGGATTCAAGAAGATCTATCTACGCATGCCTTGCTGCCACTGTTTTACCAGATGGGCGTGTAACAAGCAATCAACCAGAAATCTACATTACGGGATTTGCAGAATACACCCTTTTATCCCAGTCTGGACTGGGGACCGCATTCTTAAGAGTGTATATAATCCTATTCTATTTTTCTATCCCATATCAATAAATTTACTATTACAGTTGCAAATTGTTGTCATTATATCTGATCCCAGAAGCCAGATTCTAATAGGCCGTCTCTTCTTTCACCTCATCCTTTCCCAAAATGCTGTTTTCATTTTCTCAAATTCTACATGAGTATATTCTTATTGCAGGGCATTCACAATTTCTGAGAATAGCTGGGAAGAGAAGTGCTGAGAAAGGAACAGAAAGTAAGTGCTAAATCTAATAACGGAGTAAATGGGATGATAAAACTTTTTCTTCATCTGTTTAGGCAATAAATCTAAAGCCCAGTTAAGACCACTGGCATCAACAATTTTTTCAACAACTACCTCTAGCATTAAGCAGTTCACATAACTTTGCAACAAATATTTATATCTGACAGCAATTTTTTTTCATTTAAAGTCTTTAATTACGTTAATATGATATTCACAAGAGTAGTGCAACTTCTCGTAACATTTTAATGCTGCATAGTATTTGAATGTATCTCATTTCACCTCCCTACTGATGTACTAGCAGAAGACCTAAAACTTCTCATTGGCCAAAGAAATCATTTGCAACGCAGCCTCAGACATATTTCAATAAAATGACAAAAATTACTGTTTATTTCAGTGAGAGGGAAGTGAGAACTTAGGTAAGGTTAAGACATGCAGTAATAACTGCATGCAAAGCTAACTGATAAGACTTTGCTAACACATGTCACTTGATGTTGTGCACTCTGCTTCTCTTCAGACGTCACTCTATTTTAAAAACTTCATTCCCACCCAAACTATGCTATTTAAGCTTATTCAGTAAAGATAAAACTCTCTGCCTTACCAGCATCTGGTCAACATAGTTCTTCAATATTTTTGCAACTTTCTTGGTGTTTTCAACAGCAGTATTATAATTCAGAGTTGTAGCACCACGATTCCAATCAACTATAATAAGATTAATATCCTCTGAAGTCAGTAAAAGGGTCTTTATGTCACCTAGCCATACTGGTGAAGATCCTGTTGGTCTGAAGCCATGAACAACAAAGACAATTTTCTTTGAGGTGTTAAGATTCTCAGATGCTGTAACATTGTGTTCACTGAGTTTCTCAGAGCAATCTGGATTTTTCCTTGTGTATAACAGTAGTTGGACTTCGAGATTTGTTCCAGTCAAGGCATTACCTATATTAAGATTTGTAAATTCAGGACACTTTTTCTCCTCATCTGAAAAAAATGAAAATGTTAGACAGTCATTTGATGAGGGACTATCTGAAATACACCTCTTAACTTTTCTTCATTTGTCCACTAAGAGTGAAGAGCTTCCATTTTATCCAGCTCAGACCTTTGGAGCGAAGAGCTGGAATGGGCGCTGAGCAATGGTGAGCCATGGTTTAAATAACGGCACTGCAAATTTTGCTATGCTCCTTCAAACCAGCCAAACACAAAATTTGCCTAATTATTTCTGAATCGTGCATTTTCTCCATATCAAATACAAAGTAGTAGCCAGTGTCAGTAAGATGCTTCGCTCAGCCTTCAAGCTCAGGTTCTCAGAATTTTTTCGGGTGTGCATTGTATAAAAAGGAAGACAGTTGAGGCTGTTTCTTCCTCTTTCAGCCAGGGTGGTAAAGTTGCTCATTCTTAGGCCTTATCATTTCACCTAGCAGTAAGAAACAACAGTTGTCTGACAGTACAGAATGATCCAGAACCTTTCCCTAGTTTTGGATCACGATCAGGACACCGTTAGCAAGAAACAAAGAAACAAAGGATCCAGTTCTGAGTTTGCAAAAAGCAGCAGCTGTTAGATCAATATACACAGAAGACACAAGAGAAACTGTAGTCTTTAGCATTTCTGTACTTGGACAGTTATGGTACACAAGGTTAAGCTTTGGATTTAGACAGGATCAACAAAAGGATGGAATTTTCAAAACACTTAATTCTTCCCCTGTATACTTATCAACATCAAAAGTCAATGCTTTAAAAAGTATACTTTGACAACTAAGGTCATACTGTGCGGAAAGTGACTTCAGGATTTTGGGAGCAATCCTATTCCTATCATAGCTTTTTTGTATGACTTCACATTCTTTATGACTTTAGCTGTTCTACAAGCGAAGAGAATTGGGCCAATCTCTTGACTTCTAGTGGGCTATGCTACTTTACACAAGGCTCTTGTTTGATATTTGAAGGTACCTTTTACCTTTACCTTGAAGGTAAAAAGGAAAAAAAAAAGCCTACCCTGAATTTCTTAGAATTTTTGATTTGCAAGAGATGCAATTCTAGCTCTTCTCCATTTCCCAGTAACCAGTTAACCATATAGAGAAAAAAAAAAAAAAGACAGAAGTGAACCCTCCACTTTTCCAAATCTAAGAAAGACAGAGCCCTCAACAGTTTTATAAGGACTTGCAGGGGAAGCACAAAGGGTCGGAAGGTACCCGACAAATGTATTCAAACCTTCCTTTGAAGCTACAACGTACATAAAAGTGTATGTCACCTGAAAAAAGAAGTTCTATCAAATGAAAAAAAAAATGCATCACATTATTGATATTGCACTGCTTATCCAAATAAGCTAAACTGTGTGAATTACAGCACTTAAGGTACGCTAAAGAGAATTCATTTAGGGAAGAACTGGTGACTAGACCAGTCATCTCTGGACCAAATCAGATATGTACCCTAGACCAATCACCAATGGACGAGATATCACAAAAAAAAAAGGATATTTACAAATCAGAGTAGGGTTGAGGTGACTGAGTATTAAAAAACTTCTTGCCTCAACTCAACGAGACAAAAGCTTCATGTCTATCATTGCCTTACCATAAACGACAAGTTAGAATTCTCTATATTTTAAAAGAAATATCACAGTTCTCCTCATTTGCATGTTGAATAATTTAAGTAATGTTTATCCTGATTACTGGACAGTTTATTAATTAGCTACTGATGCAGGAAGACAATTCAGGATACAGTTGCATTGCTGAGATTCAACCAACAAAAATTTCTCAAATTAAGATTTATTCAGCTCCATTTACCTTGAATTTAGTAGAAACAAGATTCAAGAACTTGGTAAAATGCCATGTATTTGACAAGATACTGAGATGTTAACAGAATGTGTCACATTCACTCTCTAGTTTTCATATGATGACACAAGATGATAAAAGATAGAATAGAAATTCTCTTATGCAAACACCATGCACAGAGCTAAATGCTAAAAACCAGTCACTTTATCTTTTCACTATTCAGATTCACATCTACAACATGAAAGTCTTTAATTTTTGCGTAATATTGTTCTTGCTCTAGAAAATTCAAGTTTAATCACTGAACCTTATAATATTACTCCTATATTTCTAACATACACAAGATTCACGCTAAGATACTGTAAATGTTAAAGTGCTCCTTCATATTGATTTCAATGTTTTGATTTGTTATCATAACATGTGATTGGTAGAAATAAGACTTATTTTTTCTGAAGTCAATGGAATGACACTGATATAAAAAAAGGAAAAGGAAAATATTTTAACTAGTGAAACCTAATCACCAGCTGGGAGATTTCACAGGAAAACAACACATTTACCTATGGCTGTGAAGTGACAGCAGAATTATTCTTTGAAAAGTTGGTAGAGAAAAAAATGATAATTTCTATACTGTGATACTACATAAGTACTATAAATATATAATGATCTAGTGCTAAACAATCTAATGATTGTTTAGCAACAAATCATCAAAAGGAAGTTTTTCAAACTCTTATTTCCGGTTGGTTATTGGAATGAATACCCAACTGTCATTTGTGCACTCTTGTGAGAGTACTCAGATACACTTTTCTGTGCAGTTAGAAAATACAAATATAGATTGGGTAGTTATATATGCAGTTTCATCCAGTTAATACATAATTTTAACTTTTCTGTGCATGTTTGTGATCATTATTTTATTAATAGCTAGCTTCTGTGGCTGAAGAGGGGAGAATCTTAAACGCATGCAGACTTCTTCGCAACTAAATTTTGTTATTTAAAGTACAATAGATACTTGAAAAGTTGTCAACTTTTCAAGTTGACTCAGTCAGCAAAGAATAATTTCAAACACACCTGAATATATTAAAACTATTTCACAATTTCCTCCTTACTTAGTACAAAGTGCACATACCTGAATGTGTCTGCGTACAAAGTACAGCAAGAGATAAAGTACCAGGCTTTGTTCTATTTACTTTAAAATGAAAACATTTGGCTCAGTTTCAAAGTGATCAAATTCTCTTTACTAATCAACTGTTCCATTAGGCATAAATCACGAGATTTAATCTTTTGGCCAAATTACATGACAAAATATTAGTTTTCCATGCTTGAATAAAGACAGGAGACTACACCACAAACAATAAGCTAATGTTTTCCTTACCTGATTTCACCCAGTACATCAGACAGATGAAGAAACACAATTTCAGCATGTGGAAACGGAGAAAAACAATATGTAACATCCACAAACAAGCAGAAAATCTACTCTTTATAGCATACTAGATTTCTAACTTAACTGAATGCCACTGATGAGGTAGGTGGAATGTAGAGTAGGAAGCAGAAAGCAAAACTGTATTCAAGCTTCTGCAATTCATGACTCCTCCTATTGAATGACTTCAGTAGGTAGGGTGGTTTCTGGACTTAAAGGGTTGGGATTTTTTTAAATCTATTTCCCTCTCTCTTTGGCTATCACCAGATTTCTGCGGAAGTAGTTCATGTTGTATATTACTGACAACTCTGCTAACTGCGGAGTTTAGGAAGCAGAGTAACTAGTTGTACCTCACCTTAGAGAATGACCATGTGGATGTTTTCAAAAGTGTCACTCAACTGATGTTCTGCAGAACCTGCAATTAACACATGTTGAGATGGGCGTTAAGAAAGTTGCAATAAAAAGTCATTCAGGTTGTGGAACAATTTCTCTGTAAGAACTTGAAAATAATTCTAAGAACTGTATCCCCACAGATTAATTTGTACACAGAATAATCTTCTGAGCTTTCTAAAGAGTCACTGTCTAATCTAAATCCAGAGCAGGTCTGGGAAAGTATTTACATGGGAGAGAGATGGAGCTTACAGCCCCAGGCTTACAATTCTCATTCAGACACCGACTTGCTGGGTATTCCGAGTATGTCACTTAACTTCATTCTTTTTGTGTCCCCAACTGTAAAACAGATGAAGAAACATCTATCTTTGTGAAGCTCATTTATTTACAACTCAATTCACTGGATAAATACAATAGGACAAATTTAACTTTCTTGGAGTTCATGGGAAAGCAAAGAGACAGATAAACTCTTCATTATCCCAGTTAGGAGCCTGAATGCTTGGTTTACCTATATGTAGTCAATCCTTCCCACTGTGGAGCTGTAGAGGGGGAAAAAAAAAAAAAAAAAGACATCAGAGATATCAGCACCACTCAGCTATGATGCAGAAGCATCCCAGAAATGTTTTCTAGATGGCTGATCTTTCACACTGTTTGTACAGGTATGATCTAGGTTTCCTTCTTTTCCTTCCACAATCAGTAACAGGGGTTTTTCATTATTTACTTCCAAATGATTGGTCACTGCAACTAGCTTTGTGTTCCCGGACAGCTCCACAAAGCTGTGCAACACAAGTTTCTGCAGCTGATAACCTTTAGGAAGTCTTTTTAAAGTCTTTTCCCCTTTGAATTCAGTAATGAGGAGAAGACAATGCAGTATGACTCCTCACATGAAAAAAGACTCAGCTTAACTAGTGACCTTTTTTTTGTTGTTTGTTTTCTGTTTCTCAAATTTGTCATTCTGTTCTGATTGAAGTTCATTAAGGTAACACTTGTTTCTTCGCAATCCCTCTTTATCTCAGATCTTTGACTCTATGTGCAACTATTGTTACGAAAGCACAGCCGTACTGAAGCAAAATATTTCTTAGAACAACTAACAGTATAGTGTCCGTTTTTCTATTTTTCCCACTACTTTTTAATACAGGTTATTGTTACAGCAAATGAAAACTTAGTGCACCCAAGCAACCGTCAGTTAGGTAGCCTCATTACGCAGGCTTCACAAGTTAAAGCTTGGAGAGCTCAACACCACTGAAAATGCTTGATACTGGAATCAGTAACGAGCTCTACTAAAGCACTTACCACACTTATCCATGAGCCAATTACCTGATATTAGGAGAAATTCTTATATATGTACCTGTACATATAGCTAATGCTAATATATGCTAATACCTGTGAATAAATTGCTCATGCTTGCTCTTTCACACACAAACAGGAAAAAGGAAATTTTGAGTTCCTTAGAGAACTAAAAAGGAACAAACTCATCTCACATGTAAAGTACTACGCCATCCATGTTGATACAACAACCTATGAAACAAACATGTCTTTAAGCCCACTGAAACCAGGATCAGTAAAGGATTCCACTCCTAAATAAATATCTAGAAATTTTTTTCAGAATTAATCAACCTGTTGAACTAGTGCTTAACACTCACCACTCTGCCCTATGATAAGGGAATTTTGCTCTGCTCAACAATAAAGGCACTTATGCCACTTGGAAATTCATAAATCTTAACTGTTGTTAATATTTACATTGTGGTTTCTACTGACACCCCACTGTCAGGTAAATCCATCACAGTGGCTGTGAGTTTCAGGTACCACTATCAAAAAAAAAGGTGAGACCCTGAAAGTTCAGGTACTGTCTCTTCCTCTTTGCTGCATGTTAGGATTGCTCTGTCTACTGCTGTTCTCATAAGGATGTACCAGTGTCATGCTGAAAGTCAAGAGTTACCAGCTCCTAAATTTGTGCAAACCAGTGGAGGATTAATGTATTGGCTCTTAGGCACTGTATCCCAGTGCTCAGAACCATAAGAATAATACCCCGTGAATGAACTGTGACTCTTTGGGGGAAGACTACAGTCAGTTATGAAAAAAAGTTATCAGTTATGAAAAAAAGAAAAGGTAAGAATGGCCAAGTGTTCAGATTAAAAAAACTGACTTAATTTTATTTACAATGCAAAGACAAATAAAGGTTACTATGATTTACAGATAACAGAATGGCATTCTTACACTTCAGTTCATCTCCAAAAGGTTCTGCTAAAAAAGGTAGCACGGTTTTCAAAGTTAAGACAAAACCCTTGCACAAGACTCTTGTTCTTGTATCCTGATCCGTAGTCTCATGTAAATGTGACATTTACCCTTCTAATCTTCTCTCTGCCCCTGAAGACTTCCTAATCTTGGGAAATCCCCCTCTCCTAAGAGTTTTCATTTCTCTTATGAATCAAGTTATATCCCCTTTTCAGAACACTGACTGTCCTCTAACCACCAGCCTATGAGTGCAGCTTCCTTTCAGGCAAGACTGAAAAAAGCTTAATTTTAGCAACACAGCATGTTTAACTATGGAAAAACTTTAAGATTGCCAAGGAAATAATCCTGACTAGCTGGACAAAATTTAATCTCATTACTTGTTACACTCAAGCTCATAAATCACATAAATTGATAATCCCTTATTATATATAAACATAAGAAAAAGATGCAGTTTAATATTGGTGTTTAGCTGATGCTTGACAACTCAGCAACCAAGCCTCCATTAGAAAATAATGGATATGGAGGCAAAGCACATCCTTATGTTTAGGAAAAAGAATAATTTATTTGAAAAATATTTTAAATTGCTGATATCAAGGGGACTTCCGGAAATACGATTCTTTGCAAAATAATACTTTAAAAACCTATATTGAATGTTAAATAGGAATGTTTGATAGGTGATCCAAATGACCAGGTAAGAGTGGGTTGGAATCCATGTATAATTTCAGCTTTAAAAATAGCATTCATGTCCCAGTACTTTTTAAAAACTTGAGAAAGGTAAGATGTCAAACACTTCATATTTGAATTTTATCAGTAACTATCAAAATGCTTTATCATACTGATGACTATACTACCTCGCGCGTTAGAGGATTTTGAAGCATCTGTCACTCTCGGTCCTACTACAGCAGCTGCAGTACCCACCTATCCCACAAGATGGCAAGCAGAGAATAGAGCCTTGCATAGTTTATTTTCGTATTGTTAAGTCTAAGTTTTCTTATAGCTCGTCTATGCTCGCTTACGCTTTCACATAGACAAGAAAGAAAATATCCCAGTGACCTGCTTCCTCAAGATTTCGCGTTTTTGTGTGATCCACACTTCCAGTGGTAGACCTGAAAATTGTCAGGAGGGAAAACTCGGAAAAATCAAAAACGAAAGAAGCATTTTAAAATGTTAACGTTCCTGACACAACAGCGGCGCTAAAAAACGACTCCCTGGTCTGTCATCAACAGACACCATGTTTAGCGTCTCTCGAAATACTCTTCAGTAAAACTGAAGCCTGGTCTGCAGTTATAGTAAGACCTCCAGCTGAACTTACGGCCATCAAATCGCGTCCTTCGTCTCTGCCCCTCCAAAAATCTCAGTCGAAACACGCACCTGCTTTTGCGCAGCGTTTTCCCCTTCAAGTCAGGCCCCCGGGAGGCCCAGTCACGCAGTCCATCGTTTTTACCAGCTGCTCCAGAGCGTGACACCTCGACACGCGGCGCAAACGCGC